AAAAAATAAATTGAGGAAAATCCAATGTTTTACTTGGGATTGTTTTTTGTACTTTTAACATATTTCAAAGGTACGTGTGCAAGATATCAGAATACATTTATTTAAAAAAATGTTTTTACTTTTGTACATTCTAACAAACTTCCTCACAGCCCTAAATCCAATTTTAAAAACACCAACACTGGGAGGTACCCCTGATTTAGTCACTTCTGGAGCTTAATGAAGTCAAAGCATGTTTTTGTTGTCATTCTTCTAAATCAAAGTGGTTTATTGACATTTTCTTTGGACTGTCTAAATTACCAAGTGTTCCTGTCACGTAAAGCTTTGAAGCACTAAATATATTTTAGGTGTCTCTCCAGCTCCATTTATTGGTCACACTGGTTCCTCCAGAGCTTCAGCTGACATCCTGGATAAATACATATCTCTGTCCATTTTAAACATCCTTTTGGCTTTCATACAGTCAGCATTGTATTCCTCCTTATATTATATATGATAAAGAATAAACAATAAACCTTTTAATTATTCATCCATAGCGAGCACTTTTAAGTAAAAAAAAATGATGCAAATTTCTGCAGTTTTTGTTTTTTTTAGAAATATTTTCCTAGAGAACTTTTTTACTCATCTAGTGTGCTAGGCTAGCTAGGGGACAGTGAGCCTGAATGAGCTTATATCACTACTTTTGTATTATCTTTCTTCAAGTCAAAACACATATCAAACATTAAAAAATAAAGTTGCAGCTTGAGTCGAAGTCAAGTTAAACTAAGGAGGTTCTGTTCCAGTGACCAGTTGTTGTGATCAAGTAATGAACCCCCCAACCACCACCATCATAATCAAATATAGAATGGGAAGTGGCAAACTGGTTCTACTGCAATATACTACTTCTATTGTTAATCAGTGGCACCACCAAGTGGAAACCAGCGAGAGCACACGTGTTTGAGTGGGTGTGTTGATGTGGAAAAAATGTCAATATCACTACTTTATGATGCAACATCATTATTATTAAAATGTTACAAAATAAAACTGAAGAAACAGATATTTCTGTTTGCAGGTTGTGATTATTTTGAGTTTTCTTTGTAGAAAATAAAGAATACATCTTGTTGAAAATGTGCCTGTAAATCAAAGACAATATTATTAATTTCTCGGAGGTGTCCTGGGCGTCATGTTGGCGTGTATGATTTCTGAGAGGTATCTTTGTGCAAAGACTGTAAAAAAGCTGAGTGAGATATCAATTTGTGAAGTGTGCCTGATCCTGCCCTATATAATGAAGAACCCACTATATTCTGCAACATTAAATGCAAAAGGTAAAAAGGTAATAGATGTATTCAGTGCAGAGCATGTTCCTCTAAGTTTCACAGAATCCACGGTCTATATACCAAAACAACAGTCTAACACTAACAGAAAATGGGCTTAAATAAACATGAGTAAATTAAGACAGAGTAACCCAGTTTGGGACTCCCTACTAACAAACCCAGAAGCAAACACCATAACCAAGACGAGAAAAATAAATATCCACACTGCAATGCCTCAGCGGGAGCTAGAGGCAACGGATTGTATGCCAAAACTGAACACAAGGGAATAAACACTAATGATAGATGATAAATGACCTGCACTTGTATAGCGCCTCTCAGAGTAAGGACTCCAAAGTCCTTTACATTACAGTGCATCATTCATACATTCACACATACAGTCACGCACTGATGGTAATGAGCTACGATGTAGCCACAGCTGCCCTGGGGCATACTGACAAATTAAATTAACATATTGACAAATTAGATATGTTAATTTCCATTGCTTTTCATTTAACTTTAGGCATTTTTCAGCTGCTGTTATCTAAATAACTTACAGATTATCCCAACATGCATGTTTTTAGCCTGTGTTAAGAAACCGATGAACCTAGAGAGAACCCATGCATGCATGGGTAGAATGTGCTAACCCCACAAAAGGACGCCATCTGCTTTCTGCAAGGCAACCGTGATACCATCTACGCCACCACACAATTAGCTTTAACAGGGTGTGTGCCGCATAGCTTAACCCTGAAACAGTGACTTCAATAACTGTTTTGTGTAGAAGCAAAAATGCAGGTGGGAAAACGTTCTTGTTTTACTAGTTTGTTTACGCCAAGGTTAACCACTGCTTTATTTTTGACAATATAATTGCTACTTGTGTTGATCTGTTCAGCGTTGTCATATGAAGAGTAAGCTATTTTCTCACAGGCAATTCTGATGAGTCCAGTAGCTGTAAAGAGGTTGTTTTCTTTTAAATCCATGTAGGATTTTATCAAAGAGCCTTTAAACAGCCTTTTTTCAGATACTTCAGACAAAAAAAGACAAAAAGTTGGAAAGAATGTTCTCCTGCTGAACTTTGTTTCTTCTCTTCTTGAGGTTAGAAAATGTTTTTGTGTTAACCTGTTCAAACAAGCGTTAGTATTGCTACGTGAAAATACTAACAGTTATTAACATAAAAATACTTGGGCCAACTCCTCAGGGGGAATTCCAAGGCAAGCCAGCTGAGAAACATAATACTTCCAGCCTGCCCTTGGACTTTACTTAGGACTCCTCCCAGATGGACATGCTTGGAAAATTTAATCAGAGAGGTTTGCAGGATGCATCCTAACCAGATGCCCGAGCCACCTCAACTGGCTCCTCTCGATGAAGGTGCAGCAATCTGCTCCATGCCCCCTTCTGACCAAGCTTCTCAACCTCTTCTGAAGGAGAGCCTAGACAACCTCTGTAGAGAACTCATTTTGGCTTCTTGTATTTGAAATCTCATTCTTTCTGACGCTACCCAGAACTTGTGACCATAGATGAGGAGTGGAACTTAACGTCCCAGCTCAGTTCTCTCTTAACCACAACAGACTGGCACAACACCTGTAACACTGCAGACACGGTACCAATCCACCTTTTGATCTCCCGCTCAATTTTTCCCTCATTCATGAACAATAACCCAAGGGGAAGGCCCTCCTCCCTGACCTGAAGAAGGCATTGTACCCTCTTCTGCCTCAAAACCATGGTTTTGGATTTAGATAAGCTGATTCTAGAAAGTTAAGAGATCACAGTCTGATAAAGCCTATAGGACATCATCTGCAAAAATAAGAGACAGAATCTCTCCAGCACCTCCTCCAAGGACTCCAAAAAGTGTGCGTCTGACCTGTAGTCAAGGCCGGATTAACCATATGGGCAACAGGGCAATTGCCCAGGGCCCACAAACTCTAAAGGGCCCAGGGCAGCAAGGGCACGAGCAAAATACTGTATATGTAGTCTCCCGCTTTATATTAAACTAGGGTGACCATACATCCTCTTTTACCCTGACATGTCCACTTTTCACTCTCTGTCCGGGCATCCAGGGGGGTTCTTGTATTGATGAAAATGTCCGGTTTTTCATCCAGGAGCAGGGATCCAATTATGGGGGAGCTGGATATCCTACACATCCAGGGGAGCCGGATAAAACGTTTTCTACCTATATTACATCATTCATGGACTCTTTTGAGCAGAGAGCACATATAGCGATGATCGTTGGTGTTCAGCACTCCAGGCTGCTGCGTCCAGCGCACAGTCTATTCTCAAAGTGGCGCAACCAAAAAACCATAATTAACATGTCCGCACATGTTTTTTACTTTCTGTCTTATTTGTGCCTGAAGCGCTCTGCTACTGCGGAGCTCATCACCAGTGCTATGATTTCACCTCACTGACGCAGCATCGAATCGCGCACTCCGCTTTGCAGTCAGGAGATCCCTTTGATCTGCTCAAAGTAAATGATGAGGTGAAAAAGTAAGAATCCAGGCAGCAGTTATTCTGGAGAGTTTAGAGGAGATGCAGGAAGAAGAGAGACAGACAGGACAGGAAAATGGTTAAATAAAAACAACAAAACAAAACAAAGTGTTGAAAAGTAAAATGTAGGTAGATTTATCTCCACTACACGTTTTTACCTGTATAAAACAATATGTTATACACGTGTAATAATTATACATCTGATACAGTTCAGATCACCTTCAAAACTCATTCACACACCCAGGGCCGTTTCAAGACATTTTGGGGGCCAAGGCAAAATGACAGCCCCCCCCCCCCCCCCCCCCCCCCATGCAGACTGACCAATGAAGAGAGGGCCTCAAGTTAAGACCCTCTCCTCATTGGTCAGTCCACACAAGGTGGGTCAAAGGTTACCCTGAGCGGGTTACGTGATGTCAGGCACTCAAGTATTGAATATATTTACTGAATGTTACAGTAAAATTTTCTGTATGTGACCATGTTATGGTGATCCTTGGGTCGTGATGATGGGGCCCTTGAATATTGTTGCCCAGGGTACAACAAAGTGTTAATCTGGCCCTGCCTGTAGTTTAGTGCATAAGCAAATATGTCTGGTACCACAAATGTCATTTATGCCCCTGATGTTTAGCCCATGTTAGAAAACAGAACATTGGGGCTTTATGTGTGATTTAAATGAATATTTCCAGCAAAGATTGATTTTGCTTTAGTAGTAAAAATTTTACTGTCTAGCTTAATGAACAGTTGCATGTGATAATGGGAGTAATAGTGACAGTTATCAATGTGTAGTTTCAGTTTAAGATGGAAGCTTGTTATTTGTGATTTGTTTGCATGCTTGTATACAAATTCCCCGAAAACATTTAGAGATGTTTTAATTTATGATGCATTTTTTATGTAGAATCCTTTATTATACCAATAGCTGAACCATTGTACTATGCAGTGTTTGATATCAAATAAATAGAAAATCACTTAAGTTAATGTATCTTCATTTTATTAAACAGAAAGTCTAAATAAAGGTCAGATATATCATAAAAAACAAGAATATGTCATAGATTATATATTGCTCACAGAAAAACCAATGTTTTGTACAGATAAATAGCAAACATGTCTACCATGTCTATAGTCTCTTGAAGAGCTGAAAAAATGTTTGTTCTCAAATTTCAACAAATGGCTGTGAAAACTAGAATAACCAAAATGAAGCTTGCTTTGTGAAGGGATGCTGCAGAAACTGTGGTTGTGGATTTAGTAGTTGTTGCAGTAGGAGCGGCTGTGGTTGTAGTTGAAGTAGTTGTTGCAGTAGGAGCGGCTGTGGTTGTGGTTGAAGTAGTTGTTGCAGTAGGAGCGGCTGTGGTTGTGGTTGAAGTAGTTGTTGCAGTAGGAGCAGATGTGGTTGTAGTTGAAGTAGTTGTTGCAGTAGGAGCGGCTGTGGTTGTGGTTGAAGTAGTTGTTGCAGTAGGAGCGGCTGTGGTTGTGGTTGAAGTAGTTGTTGCAGTAGGAGCAGATGTGGTTGTAGTTGAAGTAGTTGTTGCAGTAGGAGCAGATGTGGTTGTAGTTGAAGTAGTTGTTGCAGTTGGAGCTGCGGTGGTTGCAGTTGAAATTGTTGTTGCAGTAGGAGCGGCTGTGGTTGTTGTTGAAACCGTTGTTGCAGTTGGAGCAGCTGTGGCTGTAGTTGAAGTAGTTGTTGCAGTTGGAGCAGCAGTGATTGTAGTTGAAACCGTTGTTGCAGTTGGAGCAGCAGTGATTGTAGTTGAAATCGTTGTTGCAGTTGGAGCTGCAGTGGTTGCAGTTGAAGTCGTTGTTGTTGAAGTTGGAGCAGCTGTGATTGTGGTTGAAGCAGATGTTATTGAAGCTGGAGCTGCTGTGGTTGTAGTTGAAGTAGTTGTTGCAGTAGGAGCAGCTGTGATTGTAGTTGAAGCTGATGTAGCTGTAGTTGAAGTAGTTGTTGCAGTAGGAGCAGCTGTGGCTGTAGTTGAAGTAGTTGTTGCAGTAGGAGCAGCTGTGGCTGTAGTTGAAGTAGTTGTTGCAGTAGGAGCAGCTGTGGCTGTAGTTGAAGTAGTTGTTGCAGTAGGAGCAGCTGTGGCTGTAGTTGAAGTAGTTGTTGCAGTAGGAGCAGCTGTGGCTGTCGTTGAAGCAGATGATATTGAAGCTGGAGCAGATGTGGTTGTAGTTGAGGCAGTTGTTGCAGTAGGAGCAGCTGTGATTGTAGTTGAAGTAGTTGTTGCAGTAGGAGCAGATGTGGTTGTAGTTGAAGCAGTTGTTGCAGTTGGAGCTGCGGTGGTTGTAGTTGAAGTAGTTGTTGCAGTAGGAGCGGCTGTGATTGTAGTTGAAACCGTTGTTGCAGTTGGAGCAGCTGTGGTTGCAGTTGAAGTCGTTGTTGTTGAAGTTGGAGCGGCTGTGGTTGTAGTTGAAGTAGTTGTTGCAGTAGGAGCAGCTGTGATTGTAGTTGAAGCTGATGTGGCTGTAGTTGAAGTAGTTGTTGCAGTAGGAGCAGCTGTGGCTGTAGTTGAAGTAGTTGTTGCAGTAGGAGCAGCTGTGGCTGTCGTTGAAGCAGATGATATTGAAGCTGGAGCAGATGTGGTTGTAGTTGAGGCAGTTGTTGCAGTTGGAGCTGCGGTGGTTGTAGTTGAAGTAGTTGTTGCAGTAGGAGCTGCTGTGGTTGTTGTTGAAGCAGATGTTGGTGTAGTTGGAACAGCTGTGGTTGTTGTTGAAACTGTTGTTATTGTTGTTGGAGCTGATGTGGTTGTTGTTGAAGCAGTTGTTGTTGTAGTTGGAGCAGCTGTGGTTGTAGTTGAAGTAGTTGTTGCAGTAGGAGCAGCTGTGGTTGTAGTTGAAATCGTTGTTGCAGTTGGAGCTGTGGTGGTTGTAGTTGAAGTAGTTGTTGCAGTAGGAGCAGCTGTGATTGTAGATGAAGCAGATGTTGTAGTTGGAGCACTTGTGGTTGTTGTTGAAGCAGATGTTGGTGTAGTTGGAACAGCTGTGGTTGTTGTTGAAGCTGTTGTTATTGTTGTTGGAGCTGATGTGGTTGTGGTTGAAGCAGTTGTTGTTGTAGTTGGAGCAGCTAGGGTTGTTGAAGTAGATGTTGGTGTAGTTGAAGAAGTTGTTGTTGTAGTTGGAACAGCTGTTGTTGTTGTTGAAGCTGTTGTTATTGTTGTTGGAGCTGATGTGGTTGTTGTTGAAACTGTTGTTGTAGTTGGAGCTGTGGTGGTTGTAGTTGAAGTAGTTGTTGCAGTAGGAGCAGCTGTGATTGTAGTTGAAGCAGATGTTGCAGTTGGAGCACTTGTGGTTGTTGTTGAAGCAGATGTTGGTGTAGTTGGAACAGCTGTGGTTGTTGTTGAAGCTGTTGTTATTGTTGATGGAGCTGATGTGGTTGTGGTTGAAGCAGATGTTGTAGTTGGAGCACTTGTGGTTGTTGTTGAAGCTGTTGTTACTGTTGTTGGAGCTGATGTGGTTGTGGTTGAAGCAGATGTTGTAGTTGGAGCACTTGTGGTTGTTGTTGAAGCAGATGTTGGTGTAGCTGGAACAGCTGTGGTTGTTGTTGAAGCTGTTGTTATTGTTGATGGAGCTGATGTGGTTGTGGTTGAAGCAGATGTTGTAGTTGGAGCACTTGTGGTTGTTGTTGAAGCAGATGTTGGTGTAGTTGGAACAGCTGTGGTTGTTGTTGGAGCTGTTGTTATTGTTGTTGGAGCTGATGTGGTTGTGGTTGAAGCAGTTGTTGTTGTAGTTGGAGCAGCTGTGGTTGTAGTTGAGGCAGTTGTTGCAGTAGGAGCAGCTGTGGTTGTTGTTGAAGCAGATGTTGTAGTTGTAGCACCTGTGGTTGTTGTTGAAGCAGATGTTGTAGTTGTAGCACCTGTGGTTGTTGTTGAAGTAGATGTTGGTGTAGTTGAAGCAGTTGTTGTTGTAGTTGGAACAGCTGTGGTTGTTGTTGAAGCTGTTGTTATTGTTGTTGGAGCTGATGTGGATGTGGTTGAAGCAGTTGTTGATGTAGTTGGAGCTGTTGTGGTAGTAGTTGAAGCAGTTGTTGTTGTAGTTGGAGCTGTTGTGATTGTAGTTGAAGCAGTTGTTGTAGTTGGAGTGGCTGTGGTTGTAGTTGAAGCAGTTGTTGTAGTTGGAGCACCTGTGGTTGTTGTTGAAGCTGTTGTTATTGTTGTTGGAGCAGCTGTGGATGTGGTTGAAGCAGTTGTTGATGTAGTAGGAGCTGTTGTTGCTGTGGTTGAAGCAGACGTTGTTGTAGTTGGAGCAGCTGTGGTTGTGGTTGAAGCAGTTGTTGTTGTTGTTGTTGTTGTTGGAGCTGTTGTGGTTGTAGTTGATGCAGTTGTTGTTGTTGTAGTTGTTGTTGGAGCTGTTGTGGTTGTAGTTGAAGCAGTTGTTGTTGTAGTTGGAGCTGTTGTGGTTGTAGTTGAAGCAGTTGTTGTTGTAGTTGGAGCTGTTGTTGTTGTAGTTGGAGCTGTTGTGGTTGTAGTTGAAGCAGTTGTTGTTGTAGTTGGAGCTGTTGTTGTTGTAGTTGGAGCTGTTGTGGTTGTAGTTGAAGCAGTTGTTGTTGTAGTTGGAGCTGTTGTTGTTGTAGTTGGAGCTGTTGTGGTTGTAGTTGAAGCAGTTGTTGTTGTAGTTGGAGGAGCTGTGGTTGTAGTTGAAGCAGTTGTTGTTGTAGTTGGAGCTGTAGTGGTTGTAGTTGAAGCAGTTGTTGTAGTTGGAGCACCTGTGGTTGTTGTTGAAGCTGTTGTTATTGTTGTTGGAGCAGCTGTGGATGTGGTTGAAGCAGTTGTTGTTGTAGTTGGAGGAGCTGTGGTTGTAGTTGAAGCAGTTGTTGTTGTAGTTGGAGTGGCTGTGGTTGTAGTTGAAGCAGTTGTTGTTGTAGTTGGAGCTGTTGTGGTTGTAGTTGAAGCAGTTGTTGTAGTTGGAGCAGCTGTGGTTGTTGTTGAAGCTGTTGTTATTGTTGTTGGAGCTGTTGTGGTTGTGGTTGAAGCAGTTGTTGTTGTAGTTGGAGCTGTTGTTGCAGTTGAAGTAGTTGTTGTTGTAGTTGGAGCTGTTGTTGTTGTGGTTGAAGAAGACGTTGTTGTAGTTGGAGCTGCTGTGGTTGTAGTTGAAGCAGTTGTTGTTGTTGTAGTTGGAACTGCTGTGGTTGTAGTTGAAGTAGTTGTTGTTGTGGTTGAAGCAGTTGTTGTTGTAGTTGGAACTGCTGTGGTTGTAGTTGAAGCAGTTGTTGTTGTTGTAGTTGGAGCTGTTGTGGTTGTAGTTGGAGCAGCTGTGGTTGTGCTTTGGGCTCCAGTTTTTACAGGAAATCCCAAGGCTGAAAAGGAATATTTTTATTAATGTATTTCTTTTTTGCCTTTTATAAAAATGTTTTTTTAAATATTGTTATCAGAAGAAATTTCTAACTTACCAGCACAGAGAAATAAGATGACACAAATCTTGATCATTTTTGTTGTTGTGTTTCTTTCCTGTTTTTAAAATAAATGACATAATTTTAGGTTATTAAAATTAGAGTATTCCTATAATTTAGTTATATTGCTAGTCCTTTTTTCATTTATTACAGTAACTCTTTCATGCATAATGGTCACTACAATGGACAGCTCCTCCAAAAAGTAATTGATTTATTATTACTTTGTATTTTTCATTTTTTAGTTTTTGGCTATCATGCACAGCTGTTAAAGACTTTATTGCATTTGAGCCCCTCATTGGACTCTAGTGTGTCAACCCAACATATTTCATGTTCAGAATGCATGCCGTCCACTGAGGTGGACATGTAATAAACTATTTGTCAATTTAATGTTGAAAACTTTTTTTATTTGTTTAATTCATAGCTAAAGATTAATTAAAAAAAATGTAAAGAAAACAATCATGGTTGAAGATTTCCTATTTCAAGCATGAAAGGGTTAAAATATCGTTCCATGAGCTTCAATTTGACAAGTAGATTACAACATCCATAATTTGTAGAAACCTATTTCTTCATTTTACCTTTTTATATATAAAAATTCAACTTTTCATTTTGTCCTAATAAGACGTTTTCTGTAATTTATTTCTCTCACAACATTACTTTTTAAGTCCAAAATGTCCACAATTGTTCAATTATTTTTCCGCAAAACCTCACAGTCAGAAGCCTGTTTTAGTTGACCCATGATTTTAGTTCACATTATTATGTTGTGATTTTATTATCTCATCAATTTCCTCTTTTACATGAATTGTTTCAAAACATTTGTTTCAACTGAAGATATGATTCCATTTTTTGAATACTCTTTTGCCACATTTAATTTTCAAATTTTGGGGTAAACTAACAAAATCATTTTAAATAGACCTACATTTTATCAACAAAAAAATACTAAATATTAAAAGGGACAATAATCACATTTAGTTAAAATTCAATCAAATGTAGTACTTACAGGTTTTTACCAGACAATATGTTATTCTCCCTGCTGTGGTGGATGTTCGGATGCTCTCTGCTTCGTTCTGTTGGCTGATTTGTTTTTCGGGTTTCAGGCTGGAGCTTTAATATCCATGCAGAGCCCATCCTCTGACATCAGATCTCAACAAAGATGTCATATGACTCAGTGACTATTAAGCAATGTAAAAATTAGTTCCTTTAAAGGGTGTGGCACCATCTCTCCAATCCTTTTTTATTTTTATTTTTTTTTAACTTCATGTTCCGTTTGAGCCGTCTGAGTTTACCTGGTTGATCTGCATTTTTTCTTTATGAGACATTGAAGCATAAAGTTTCCCGTCTGCATGTGCTTTGTTTTGTTTTTTTGCTTGTTTGTTTTTTGTTGCTGCATATTCTTCAAGTTTTCCTAAAATTCAAACGAACAGTTTTTTGTCACTTCTTTCATCATAACTGACCAGATGATGACCACAGATGACCTGAATAGGATATAAACTGTGTCTTCCTCTTCTTTTTTCACTAACTGCACTAGTTGTAAAACTGTCTGAACCATTCATTCTTCGCTGTAGATGTGTGAGAGTCTTTGGTCATCAAACTTTGCAAAACATTCGGCAAAAGAATTTCAAGGCATGGTCAAATTTTTTTCCAGTGTGAAGTGAACAGACTCGACTGCATCCTTTTGTTGTGGAAGCAACTGATCGAGTTGGTTAGTATTACGGTGGTAAGAGATCAATGTGATGCTGCCTCCCTGTACAGGAATGTGTTTTACCTGACGTACTGCACTGAACTGTTACATCAATTCCTACATGAAGCTGAGTCAGATCTGATTCTTTTATTATCTGTTCGTTCATATTCCATTTTGTTGGTTACGTTTTTTTAAATGAAGCTTCAAATATTAATTACCTTGGATAAAAATGCTTTCATAACTTCTAAAATGCCAATGAAACTCTGCCTATTTGGCACTCTAACTTCTGTTTGTTTGTTTTTTCACCCTTGTAAGAAGTTATTTTACTTTTACACAGACACCAAACCAGATTTTAATTGTTCCTTTCATTTTTGCATTTTTCAGACTAACAGATTGTCCTAATATGCATGTTTTTAGCCTGTGGGAAAAGAAAACGATGAACCTGGAGAAAACCCATGCATGCAAACCCCACAAACTGACGCCACTTTTATTCTGCGAGGAAACAGCGATACCATTTACGCCAACACACAATTATGTTTGGACAGGGTGTGTGCTGCATATCTTAACCCTAGAACAGAGACTTCAATAATTGTTTTGTGAAGAAGCCAAAATGCAGACAGGAAAACATTCTTGTTTTACTAGTCTGTTCGCCCAAAGGTTAACCACCGCTGTATTTCTGACAGGACAATTGCAACTTGTGTTGGGCTGTTCAGCATTGTCATGTGAAGAGTTAGTTATTGTCTCATCGGGTGGTTCTGATAAGTCCAGTAGCTGCAAAGTTTTATTTTATTTTTTTAACCGTGTCCTGTCTGGCTGTGAAGCAAACAGAATTAATGTCTGAATGCTGGTGGCATGCCTTACAGATTTACTCTCTGGTGGAGCATCAAAGCGTCTGCTTTTAATGTCACGCCTGATACTTAAATTTTTTATTTTCTAATCCATTTAGGGTTTTATCAAGGAGCCTTTGAACAGCATAATTCAGATAATTCAGAAAAATAGACACAAACTGGAAAAATTTTGCTTTTTCTTTTCTTATTGAGGTTAGAAAAATGTTTAGGTGTTTACCTTTTCAAAAACGTGTTAATATTGCTACACAAAAGACCTGTTAACATAAAGATACATTAAGATGAGTACAATTTTTAAAGAATTTCCTTAAAAAATAAACTGTTACATTTTTTGTAGCCATATATTCTCAGGAAACCTTCACTAAATCTTCCATAATAACCATACTGTATTTCCTTAAAGTTAGATGAGGTTCATCCTCAGAAACGTTCCTTAAGAATTCCCCGAAAACTATAAGTAACCTTCAGGGAAAATTCCATCAGGGGCGTGTCCAGGGAGTGGCATGGGGCAGCGCATGCCACTCTTGGAATTTGATTGGCCTCCCCATTGATTTTCATTTAACTTTGTCTATAACGTTGTCCATAAAAGGCTTGGGCTTATAAATACTAAAACAGTAGGTTGCAGTATGCACTTTTAACGTTGGTGTTTAGCCCCAGGCCTATGGAGCATTTCCATATTACTATTTTTTTTCATATTACTGTAAAATATACTTAGAATTCTGGTCCTGACTCCACTCCAGTTGGTGTTGGTAATACACCAAGAAAAAACAGTTCAAAGAAGAAGACCTAAAGAATACAGGAATAAGAAAATGTTACTGAAGAAGAAGAAGAAGAAGAAGAAGAAGAAGAAGAAGAAGAAGAAGAAGAAGAAGAAGAAGAAGAAGAAGAAGAAATGGACATGGTACAAAGTGTATCTCAGAAATTTACTAGAAAACAAAAAATGAATGAATTGGTGCCACCTACTCCCAAGAAAAATAAACTAAAAATTTACTTTGAATGCCACTAATGCATCAACAGGTGCCCCACCTGGGCCACCCATTTTAAAAGCTTTGACACACCACTGCATTTCATACAAGTTCCTTGATAGTGTCATGGTCTGTGCTGAGGTAAACTCTGTGTTGTGCTGAGTCTTTCTGAGTGCAGGTGGGTGTGCCCCGAGAGCAGCTGCTGCCTATCTGCTCATCAGTGGTCAGGGGATTTAAGGAGCGTCGGGACAACTCATCAGTGCCGGATGATACTCAATATTGGGTAGTACTCTCACCAGCTCCTTGCCTGTAGCTAAGTTCGTTTTTATCTCCTGTGTACCTCGCCTCCCTGTACTTAACTGTCCTCTTTCCTCCGTCCACCTCAGGAATTTTTCCTCCACTAGCCAGCCTCCATCATCAAGAAATAGACTCATCGGATTCAAACCCTGCATGCCAGCCCCGTCGCTCGCCCCTGACCATCTGCTCTCCAACCCCCACCTGCCAACCTGGACATCTCGGACTCTGGTGCTCAGCTCCCAGCCATTACTCCTGACTCTCACTCGACTCACTCAGCCAGCCTTGACTTACCCTCCCCTCAAAGCCTTCTCTACAACCTGGAAACCGTAAGCTGAATCCCACAACTCTTTAAGCTGCCAATCTGCAATTACTCACTCCTGTCTCTGCTTTAGAACTCCACCGGAACCACCCGAACTCCGACCTTCATCTTCACCTCCACCGTACAAAAATAAACCTTGTTTACTTAACTTCTGACTTTGTGCGTGATTCTGCATGTCGTGGGTCAAAACACTTCAACCCAACATGACAGATAGTGATTTTATAAAATTGGAGCCAAACCACAGGGAACATTCCCAAAAGTATCCCAGATATTTCCTTTAAAGTTATATTTAGAAACTCGGCTCTAAATTTTAAGGTGCACTATGTAAGAGTCTAGTGAGAATTTTACAGTGAGAAAATCCCTAAGGAGTATAATGTCTCAGTCATTTTGGAAGGAAGGTTATACTGAAACATATTTCATATCCAGCTGGCTGCAGGGATTGTTGGTTTTTCTCCTTTCAAATCAAAGGAAGGAGGGACATAACTACGGTTTACTAACGGTGAGTGTGGGGGTGCCGTGTCACCTGCGAGCTAATGCTGCAGTGCCGACAATTGTAATTTGACAATGGCTGGCAGAAAGCTCCAGAGTTGTTTAAAGTGATTGCAGGAACCACATTTTACCACAGAACACCATTTTTATTCATTTCGACATAATGCACCTTTAAGGGAACATTCCCTCCAAATTCCGTAAATCCCATTTAATCCTGATCTAATTCACTTTCAAAAAATTCTCTGAAACTCAAATTTTAGATGCAACCTTCAGATGTTCCTCTCTTAATTTGGTCGTAAAGGTAAACCGTGAGTGTTTAAGCTAACCTAAGTTATCCAACTCATTTGCGGTATTAATCCTTGTATAGATTCAGAAAATATCAGTATTTTTGAGATGTGGCATTTAAAAGCTACATTAAAATGTAATTTTTATCATGAGAACCTTTTAATGTTTGTTTATGTGACTCAGAGTCTTGAAAATATTGCTGGACAGAAAAGTATTTGGAGGTCACACCTTTAGAACGTCACAGCAGTGTGATGCATATTGTTTGTGTTGCCAGGCAACCAGTATAATCTTTGATTAGGTTTCTATCTGTTGGTCAGTTTTAAAGTCCATAAACTTACTTTCCTCACCTAGAGGTGTTAGTCTTCTGTTCTTTACACATCAGAGTAGACGTTAGGAAATGCTACACTACTACTGTACACAAGTACAAAACACTGTGAGATATATAGAGCTACTGCATGAGTAAATGGTAAATAGCCTGTATTTGATATAGCGCCTTCTAGAGTCCTGGAACCCCCCAAGGCGCTTTACAACACAATCAGTCATTCACCCATTCACACACACATTCACACAATGGTGGGGATGAGCTACTATGTAGCCACAGCTGCCCTGGGGCGCACTGATAGAGGCGAGGCTGCCGAGCACTGGTGTCACCGGTCCCTCCGACCACCACCAGCAGGCAATGTGGGTTAAGTGTCTTGCCCAAGGACACAACAACAGCGACAGACTGAGCGGGTCTCAAACCTGCAACCTTCCGATTGCGAGGCGAGCACTTAACTCCTGTGCCACCGTCGCCCCATTAGGGGCCCTTAGAGAACCGCTCTGGTTAACTTTCTCTTTCTCACGTATGATGATGTTGACGCACAGACGTCCCTCTCTCCAACCACTTGGAGGAATCCCAAGGTGTTCCCTGGCCAGCTGAGAAACATTATCCCTATCCGCTTGTATCCGCAATCTCATTCTTTCAGTCACAATCCAAAGCTCGTGACCATAGATGAAGGTTTGAACGTAGATCGACCGGTAAATCATGAGCTATGCTTTCTAGCCTGGCTCTCTCTTCCCCCACAACAGACAACATCCTCATCAGAATCAGAAGGGTTTTATGACCATATGTGTGAGAATTCACAACATCAGGAAATTGAGGCGGAACTTGGTGCAAGAAAGAAAAATAAAATAGGAGATAAGCAAATAAAGGAAGTAAGAATACAAACGATAAAATAATAAATTAAAGGGGGAATAATTAGAGAAACGGCTACTATATAAAAGACGGTGTAGGTACTAATCAGAGCGTAACAGTTTAGGTACAAACATAACACAGGGTCATGTGATGACTGAAATGGGTAGGATTGTCATTCATGAGTCCAACAGCAGAGGGGAAGAAACTATTGTGGCGAGAGGTTCTGGTCTGAATGGATCTGCGCCTCCTGCAAGATGGGAGCAAGTCAAAAAGACTGCGTCCAGGGTGAACCGTGTCAGCTGTTAATGTCCTGGAGGTGTGCAGGTCCTGTATGGAGGGGAGTTTGCAGCCAATTACCTTCTCAGCAGAGTCCACGACACACTGCTGCAGCTTCTTTTTGCTCCCGGTGGTAGCTCCAGCATACCACACAGTGATTGAAGAGGTGAGGATGGACTACCACTGCAACAAGACCCCAAGATACTTAGACTCTTGGGGCAGGGCCTCCTCCCAGACCTGGAGAAGGCATTTTACCCTTTTCTGACTAAAACCCATGGTATAGAATTTAGATGAGCTGATTCTAGCAAAGGTTTGAGATCACAATTTGATTAAAGTCAACAGGACCACATCATCTTCAAAAATTATAGACACAATCTCTCCAGCACCACCTCCAAAGGCTCGAAAAAGTGTCTGACCTGCAGAGATGTCTGGCATCACAAATATTACTTTAGTATTTGTCACTAAATATCTGTGTCCCTGGTGTTTAGCCAGTATTAGAAAACAGAACATTGATTGATA